TCGCTACGGCTCGCGCAGACTTCGGATAAGAAAAATTATCGAGAGAATAATTTTTTGGTTTGTCACTCACTGCTCCGGGATAGCTGGCACGTAACACAGGATGTTACGAGCGGAAAGCACCCAAGCAACGTGTATGCGCACGCATTTTTTAACCCTTGACCGGGCTAGAGCGTCGCGGCCCCGTTCAGATTGGGAAAATCCTGTATATCTTCCGTTGTTCAATAAATCCCAAGTCAGCGGAGTACCAGTACTGACAGGAGAGAACCTCGGACGAGAGTGACGCGTTAATTTTAAAGAGGAAAGCGCGTTGAGTCCAAGATTCCGCGACTCTAATTAACGGCTGTTGTATCGGTTGGCGCCCAAGGCGCCGCCAAACAAACCCCGCAGGCAGACAAAGGGATACAGCCACCTGATGAGTCTTTTGACGAAACTTTGCTGCCTTAGTTGTGGTCCCGCAATTTCTTCAACCCCTGGTACTCTCTTTCACTCAGGTCTACTCGCTCGCTCGCCTGAATTGAGGTTCAGAGAGCCATCAAGAACCGGACCGAACCTCAGGTCCAGTTCGGGGTTCGCATTTTTTGAAATTTGCCCGAACCTGAATGAACCTGACCGGACCCGCTGGAAAATTAGGTGTGTGTGAGTGATCTTACAAGATTATTCAACTATAACTTTGCTCAAACTCCAGCTAACGGTGACCTAGAATAGGCAGAAGCATTCCATCTCCCTCCGAACACTCAAAATTATATCCATCCCCCAAGTTCAGAGGTCCACTGAGGCCATTGAAAAATATTGTTCCTTCCTTTGGAGGTAGCTGCACACTCCTAAGCCGAAAACAATAGACAGGATGCGCAGGAGCCGCACACGGCTTTTGTCACTTGCGCAAAGCCGCACGGGATTCTCTCTTTCTTGCGGGTAAAACATGATTATTATGCATCTACACTTCCATTCCATGTCTGCAAGTTGTGTATGTTCAGTATTAGACAGGATGCGCAAAAGCGCATGGGCCGCATGCGGCTTCATGCGGCTTTCGTGCATTGTGCAAAGCCGCGCCAAAAAAATAAAATTGCGAGCCAGAATGCCATAGGTTTCAATAGAAAAGATGAAATTCAGTGTCCCTCACTTGTTTCCAACGTTGGAGTGGAGCATCAATGATGCGGTGGACCAACACTCATTAATCATTGGCCATAAGACAAAAGCCGCGGCAGTGGTTTCATCCAAGAACTTGCCAAGAACAAGTTGCACAGGCTCGCTCGAATAAATAGATTCCACAATAGACAGGATGCGCACGAGCCGCATGCGGCTGTTGGCACTTGTGCAAAGCCGCAGCGGCTTTCCTGTTAATTTTGATTTAAGCACCATCACTGCATCTCCGAGCTTCTATTCGATGCCGGAGACACTTAAATCTTCAGTAGTGTGGAAATCTTCTGCGAACAGAGCTCGCGAAACCCGTTTCTCACGGCATCACTCAAGCCGCTGAATTTTCGGCTGCTCTAACACACCGTCGGCGCTCAGCCCGGACAGTCTCAGGATATTACCATCTACGTACACTTGTTTTTACATGTATTTTACTGCGATGTATGTTGATGAGGCCCAAAATCTTCTGTTTTGGGTGCGGCTTTGCACAATGACCAAAAGCCACATGAAGCCCGCATGCGGCCCATGCGGCTTTTGCGCATCCTGTCTAATTTGGGGGGAGTGAGTTACTTTGCTCCAGAAGACTTCCGCTCTCATTGTATACCATGTATATGTTGATGAGAAAAGAGCTCACATTGCGCGGGAAACGGTGTGTGAAAAATGTACATACCTGTATTTAAGTCTTCGAAAAGTCCTTATTATTGTTCTTGTTGTTGTGATACCCGAAAATACGGGCTGCAGAAGTGTGAGAAAAAAATTCGCCTCCGCTGTCAGGTCTTCGGGTGGATTCGAACCACCGACGCTCCCTTGCAGTATGGCGGTCAGAGTGCACTTTTATTATTTCTCACACACACATGTAAACTTCTCTCACACACAAATGTAAAATTCTGCCTAATGTCTCTTCAGGGGTCCTGCAATGCTTTTCTGCCCTCCCCTACCTTCTTCCGCTTCTTGACTTCCTTCCGGGAACTCTGCGACAAAAATTTCAATGAGTTCGGAGCTACGGTTCCGAGAAACCGGTGGCTGTGCCAACCTCCTTTGGGATGCCGAAAATTAAAAGAGTGTTCACGACCAAGTACTCTGCTCCTAATCTCTTATAAACAGACACCTCAACAGTTGACGCCTCGTACCTCGCTTGTTGTACTCCGCTCCCGGGCTCGGCTCTGCAGGCCCATCGTGGAATTGAAACCTGTTTGCAAGGGGGTCTGAAGATAAGAGATTACCATATGGGGTAGGGGGGGAGGGTGTCTGGCCGACCGCCAAAAAAAAAAATTGTATGTAAAATTTTTTCTGTCCAGATATCAACCCATGTGTATCCTGGTCCTCTGGGACTTATCTGGGATACCTCTCAGGATGTACCAGAGCAATTGTCCAGCAAAACATGAGTGAATACTGGATATGTTTGGGATATGTTGTGTTCTCGCCAGCCGCCGGCATGTGGCCATCATTATTATGACATATTTGACAGTTGCCCCGCTCAGCCGATTGGATGCCGAAACAGCCCTTGAGCCTCTGCCGTTACATTGCTGGCTCCGAAGAGTGCCGATTATCAATAATTCTACAATACCTCGAATGATTTTAAGTTGTTTGCGGCCCTATCAACTCATATTCTAAAAGCATCCTTTGGAACATGCTGTACCAATGTCCACAAATTCAGACAGTTTTATTTCTGCATACATTTCCGGCCCACCCCTAATGAAATTTCCAATGGCATTTAGTTAACAAGTTTGATTGGATTGTTAGTTATGTATTAGTACTTTTTACGGCTTCAACTTATTCTAAGTCAAAAATGTTTAGAACATTGTTCCTTCGCATATGATATGATGAGCCAACTGTTTATGAGACTCTGTAAATATCCTTGTGAATAATCAGTCTACCATTCTCATGTAGCACCTCCCGGCGCGGAAATGCGCGGCAGCACTGTTTCCCGAAAAGGGAATTTGATGGCATCAGGTGGCTGTGAGGGGGGAGGGTGTCGCCGACCCTCTCAAAAAAAAAAATTGTAGGTGATATCAATTTTTCTTATCTTTGGACCCCCTTGCCTGTTTGTCTCAAGGCACTCCCTCTCTCCGACTGTCACCAACCTTGGCTTGGACACCGAATTCAGCTTTCAAGTGTCTTCTCGACTACAAACCACTTTTCCTTTTGGGTTAGCCAAAGGCCATGGGCATTGCCATCGTCTGGCGGTTCCATTTGGGTTCATTCTCTACGGCTTGAGGTTTGGCGGTCTGCGGATCAGTCCCTGCCGATCTCTGCGAGACGATGCCGGTGGTGCTCTCCATCGCCGTTGGGATATTCCGAAATGTGCACTCTCGACCTCTATGAATTTTCTCTCTAAAATTCCATTGTGATTGAAATAAATGGTCCACAGTACTAATACTCCCGCCCTTATCCCGACTCCCCGCTTGATGCGCCATCAGTGGGCAATGCCACTGATCGGATCGCGAAGGGCTTTTGCAAGGCATTCAATACAGCTGCATCCATAATTGACACCATCCCAAGTCATCTCAAGTTGTATGTATGCCTTGGAAAGGATCCAGAGGCTTTTTTTAACCTGATGTGAGAGATTCTTAACTTTGTGTGTTAGAGAAATCCCTTAGTTGTGTGAGAATCAGTCTACCTTGTGTTAGAATGAGACAGGTTGTGTGTGAGAATCCTGAACTTGTGTTAGAATTTACATATATGTGTGAGAATTTACATGTGATTACATGTGTGTGTGTGTGAAATTAATTAAAGTGTAGTCTGTTAGTTACCACGCTCTGTTACCCGGTAGCCTGCGTTATTATGTAAGCATACATCACGTGTATAACCTCCGACGCGACTTGGACGCGTTCTAGCGGCCGTACTCGTATTTAAATTAAATTTGACGTTACAGAGTATTGAAACATCTCTTCAACTTTTTCTCTTTGATAACTGGCGACCTCAGCACCCCGCTTGAAGATTCTCGTCCAAATTTGGGTGTTCCCGCCAAAAATAATCTAGCTTTTGTGTTGAGCACAAATTGACGTCCCAGACGGTTCAACACTCTCCTCATGTTTCTTTGAGGCCCACCATATGCTCTCCAGGATCATTGAGGGCAAGAAACGCGTCCAAGCCGCGCCGGAGCGATCGCACGTGATGTAAGCTTACATAATAACGCAGGCTACCGGGTATCAAGGTGCGGTAACCAACAGACTTTATTGGGCGAGGAACGAGCAAGATACAATAAAGCGTCTGTCAAGAGAGACTAATTAAAGTGCATTCTGACCGCCATATTGCAGGGTTCATTTTCAACAATTCTGGAGGAGTGAGTTACTTTACTCCACGAAGACTTTCTGGCTGAGTGCATACCTTGAATAAGTGGGCGATAAATAAACGCTGGGACTAGTGACGGGGCCAAAACCACCCGGGTTACATACATGTAAATCGTTGGGTGGATTCGACACACCAACAAGTAAAATCAAATTCGGCGGGAAATTGGAGTAGGGTGCTCCACGATGGGGTTTCAAGGAACCAATTCAAAATGTTGAAAAGCAGCGCTAAAAATGGTGCTGCCATTTTCCGACATGCCTTTGAGTGGATTCGAACCACCGACGCTCCCCCGTTGAAACATCGAACATGTATAACTGGAAGGGAGGGAGTTACTTTACTCCACGCAGACTTCCGCTCTCATTGTATACCATGTATATGCTGATAGAATAGAGAGCACACAGCGTGGGCAACGGTGTATGCAAAATCAGTCCGAATGAACAGTATCTGGGTCTTTGAACTACTGTCAAGTCCTGATTCTTTTTCAAGGGTAATGAGTTACTCCACTCTACGATGGGTTTACAGTGGGTGCCCTGCTGCAGGAGCGCAGAAAAAAAGTGTCGGTGTAGAAATAAACATGTCTTTGGGCGGATTCGAACCACCGACGCTCCCCTGTAAAATATCCAGCTATACTCGAAGCATTTGGCAGGAGTGAGTTACTTTACTCCACAAGGACTTCCTGGCATAGTTGTTATTCCTCAAATAAGTTGGCAAGAAATGAGAGTGTTGGGCGGCTGCAAAAAGATGATGCATTCAAGGTAGGTCTTTGGGTGGATTCGAAGCACTGGCACTCCCTCGTTACGCTGGGCCAACTCAACTATTTGGGAGGAGCCAGTTACTTTACTCCACGAAGACTTCCCAGCTTATTGCACTCCTTCGATAGTAGCAAGAGATTTGAGCGCTGGGCAGGGACGCAAAAATACACGCCTTGATCAGGTCTTCGGGCGGATTCGAACCACCAACACTCCCCCGTTGAAATATCGAACATGCACCATTGGAAGGGAGGGAGTTACTTCACTCCACAAAGACTTTCCGGCTAGGTGTATCTTGAAAAGATTGGGAAGAAATAAGTGGTGGGACCAGTGACGGAGGTGCAACAAAATGTCCCGTCAGCCACGGAGGTTACAGGTAAATCGTTGGGTGGATGCGACCCACTAATGAAACAATTGAAAGTGTTGGTAAGGGGGACCAAAAACGTTATCGCCAAAATCAGGTTTTCGGGCGAATTCGAACTACCGATGCTCCCCCGTTAAAATATCGATCATGTGAATATCATTGGGAGGGAGTTGCTTTGCTCCACGAAGACTACAGACTGAGTGTATACCTTGAATAAGGTGGTGAGAAATGAGAGGCTGGGTGGGTTGCAAAACGAATGCATCTCACTAGGTCTTCGGGTGGATTCGAACCACCGACAATCCCTTGTAAAGAATGCAATTCAGAAACATTTGGGGGGAGTGAGTTACATTACTCCACGAAGACTTTCTGGCTGAGTATATATCCTAAATAAGTTGGCAAGAAATAAGCGGTGGGACCAGTGACCGAGGTGCACAAAACGGCCAGTCAACGACCGAGGTTAGATCTTTGGGTGGATTAGACCCACTCGCAGATCAAATCCACTTCTGCGGGAATTTGGAGTAGTCTCCTCCACGATGGGGCATCAGGTAACCAATTTAAAGTGTTGGAAGAAGGACTAAAATTGTTGCTACTGTTTTCGATCATGTCTTCGGGTGGGTTCGAACCACCGACGCTCCCTTGTAAAGTTGTCGCTGTATAACAATTTGGGAGCGAGTTGCTTTACTCCACGAAGACTTTCCGGCCTATCGTATGCCTTGAATAAGTTGGCAAGATATGAGAGTTCTGGGCGGGTTGAAAAAAGAAGGCCTTCGTATCCATTAGGTCTTCGGATGGGTGCGAACCGCCACCACCACCGCCAAGTGAAGACATCAGGATGAAGGAATTAGGAGCGGGGGGTTATTTTACTCCATTCAGACTTTCTGGGGGAGTGTACACCTAGGAACGAGGTAGCAAGACATTAGAGAGCTGGGACAGGGGTCTCCAAGAAAAAAATTAGTTTGGTCGTTTGTAAAGTTACCGGAGACTCAAAAGCTATTGGAAGCGAGGGAGTTACTTTACTCCACGAAGACCTTATGACTCGTTCTATTCCTTGAGTAAATTAGCCAGAAATGAGAGCGTTGGGCAGGGACACAAAAACGGTGTACCTCAAATCGCACCGTAACAGGTCCTCGGGTGGATTCGAACCACCGACATTCCCCTGTAAAACCAAGCGGTAAGGGGCATTGTAAGGGAGGGAGCTACTCTACTCCACGAAGACTTTCTGGCTTATCGTATGCTTTGAATAAGTTGGCGAGAAATAAGTGCTGGGACGGGGGCACAGAAAGTGACAAGTCCCGTCAAGTTGACAACAACCGACGACACGCCGGGGATACACGGAAATTATCAACATCGCGGGGATTATTGTAGACATGAATGGTAATTGAGGTTCAAACCTGGAGTGATTGCCCGGAAGATGCATTTGAACGCAAGCGCTGAACACGGACAAAAACGGCGCGCATCTCGGCAGCACACGGAAGCAAACAACACGTGGCCCCGCATCACCGGCCCGCGCTTCCGCGCCTCGCGTTTCTCTTGCGTCTCCCCTCCTTCCTTCCCTTGCATTCACCTTCCCGCTCCATCGCATGACATCCACCCCGCCCGGCCGCGGTCAACCCGGGGGCCCCAAGTCCGCTCCTCTTTCCTCCTCCCCTCCAGATCGATGCATCGCTAATCCGTGATGTGGTGTAGGTACATCAATGACTTTAGCAAGGCGCTCGCGGGGGAGATGAAGATCCTCCTCGCGGAGGTGGGAAAGCTGCGGGATGAGAAGCGTGCGCTGCAGTTGTGCGTTCTCCATTCTCTTTCTTCAAGTGGAGTATCGTGGTATTGACGGCACGGGACGATTGGGTGTAGTGAGATCGCGGAGCTGATGAGCATCAAGGCGAAGCATAGCGCGGATGGCGTCTATGAGCCCGGGTGGAGGCCGCCGGTGCGTTTGCGTTCCGTTTCATACTTTGCATCAGCTAAATAATCTCGAATAATAATACTGCGTCGATCCAGCCCCCCGAAGAAGCCCCGCCCCCGCCCGAGCCCGCGCCGCCGCCCGCCCCGGCCCCGGGCGGCTGGCGCACCGTCCACGCGCCGCACGTCCCGCGCCGGAGACAGCAGCAGCTCGCCCTCCGCGCGTCACCCGCCCCTGCCCCTGCCCCCGCACCGCCCCCGCCGCCTCCCGCGGTCCCCGCCCCGAATCTCCCTGCGTGGGCGCAGTGGCGTCGTACGTGGATATTCTTTACGGTACAATAATATCGACGTATGCTGACGACGTGACGCGGCTTTAGCGAACCCGCTCCTCGCGCCGGGCGCCCCCGCGGGCCCGAGCACGCACGCCGTCGTCGCGCCCCCGCCGCGCTCGGGGCTGTTTGGTCCGAAGACCCCGCCGCCGAAATGACGCATCATTTATGCTTGGCTTGGCTTGGCTTAGATTAAATGCTAGCTCTCGTCCTCGTTCGTGCCGTGAAAAATAGGTCCGACCGTATGTAGGTCCTTGAACCATTGTCGTCAAGTCCTAATTTGTTTTCACAGTAAAGTGAGTTACTCCACTCTGCAAAGGATTTACAGTGAGTGCCCTAAAAACCCTGGAACACCGGAAATGGGCATGTCTTCGGGTGGATTAGAACCACCCCCCCATACTACCTCGGTTTATCTCTATCGGCAAGGAGTGAGTTACTTTACTCAACGAAGATTTCCTTTCTCCGTGTATATCTTGAAAAGATTGGAAATAAACAAGTGCTGCGACGGAGGTGCCAAAGGAGGCTGATCAACCACAACGGTTACAGGTAAATCCAATAAATCAACGCTGGGACGGGGGCACAAAAAGTCCCGTGACTCCCGTCAACCACCGACGGCACGCCGGGGATGAACCGAACTTATCAACTTCGCTTCCAGATCTTCGGGTCGATGCTCCCCTGTTAAAATATCGAACACGTATTATGGGAAGGGAGGGAGTTATTTACTCCACAAAGATTTCCGCTCTCACTATATACCTTGAATAAGTCGGTGAGAAAAGGGAGCACTAGCAGTGGCAACGGTCTCTGAAAAGGCGGTCCGAAAGTACTTGGATCTATGTCTTCGAATCGACAAGTCCCGATTGTTTTTTCAAGGGAGATGAGTATAAACTGAGTTAATCTACTCGGTGGAAAGCATGGTATCGTCTTAACCGAAAATCCAGGCTGTATGAGCCTTAAAAAAAAAAAAAAACACTGTGCACCGTCTCAGGTCTTCGGGTGGGATCGAACCACCAACACTCCCTTGTAATGTTTCACACAACCCAGATTATTTGGGAGGAGGGAGTTGCTTTACTCCACGAAGATTCGCAGGCTTATTATACCGCTTGAATAAGGTGGTGAGAAAAGAGAGCATACTGACAGTGGCAACTGGGCGTGAAGAATGGGTCCGAATGTACTTGCATCCAAGTCTTTGAACCATCGTCAAGTCCTGAGTTTTTTTTTTTCAGGGAATATAAAATGAGTTTATCCACTCTGCGAAGGGTTTACAATGAGTTAGTTCTCTGCTGGAAGGCGCAGAAAAAAATGTTGGCATCAGGATCAATCATATCTTCCGGTAGATTCGAACCACCGACACTCCCTTGTGCGGAATGCAACTTAGCTATTTGGGAGGAGCGGATTACTTTACTCCACGAAGACTTCCCTTCTCAGTGTATACCGTGAATAAGCTGGCAAGGAATGTGAGAGTGCGAGGAGGAGCACAGAAAAAAAATGATCCCACGTCTTCAGATGGATTCGAACTGCCGACGCTCCCTTGTAAAGCGGTCATAGTTCATGATTTGGGGGGAGCGAGTTACTCTACTCCACGAAGAGTTCCCTTCTGAGTGTATATACTAAGATATGAGAGTGCTGTGCGGGTTGCAAAAGAATGAATCCATTGCACAGGTCTTCGGGTGGATTCGAACCACCGACGCTCCCCTGTAAAGTTCGTGCAATTCAGAAATATTTGGGAGCGAGTTACATTGCTCCACGAAGACTTTCTGGCTGAGTGTATATCCTGAAGTTGACCAGAAATGAGAGTGCAGCGCGGGTTGTAAAAAGAAGGAAATCACTGTATTAGGTCTTCGGGTGGGTTCGAACCACCGACTCTCCCTGTGACATTAGGAAGTATTATTGGAAGGGAGCGAGTTACTTTACTCCAAAGACTGCCTGGCTTATTGTATACTTTGAATAAGGTCGTGAGAAATGAGACTGTTGGGCAGGTTACAAAAAGGACAACAACGCCTCAGGTCTTCGGGTGGATTCGAACCACCGACGCTCCCCTGTAAAGTTCGTGCAATTCCATCAAATTTAGGAGGAGGGAGTTACATTGCTCCACGAAGACTTTCTGGCTGAGCGTACATCCTGAAGTTGACCAGAAATGAGAGTGCTGCGCGGGTTGTAAAGAGAAGGAAATCACTGTATTAGGTCTTCGGGTGGGTTCGAACCACTGACACTCCCTGTAAAGGTTCCAACAACCCAGACTATTTGGGGGGAGCGAGTTACTTTACTCTATGAAGACTTCTGTTCTCACTATATACCTTGGATAAGGTGGTGAGAATTCAGAGAGTACTGGGCAGGGGCACAAAAAATTTCATTGAACAAACGATACGTCCTCGGGTGGGTTCGAACCACCGATGCTCCCCTGTTGAAATATCAAACCTGCATCATTGGAAGGGAGCGAGTTGTTTTACTCCGCGAAGACTTCTCTTCTCAGTCTGTATCTTGGAAAGATTGGGAATAAATAAGCGCTGGGGCCAGTGACGGTGGTGCACAACAAGTGCGGTCAACCACTTCCAAATCTTTGGATGGATTCGACCCACCAACAAGTAAAATCAAATTCGGCGGGAAATTGGAGTAGGTTGTGCCACGTTGAGTTTTCAAACAACAAATTGAATGTGTTGGAAAGCAGCACTAAGAATGATGTTGTAGTTTTGTCATGTCTTCGGGTGGATTCGAACCACCGACTCTCCCCCGTTGAAATAAAGAACATATCTTTAGAAGGGAGGGAGTTACTTTACTCCACAAAGACTTTCTGGCTCATTGTATACCGTGTATATGTTGATAAGGATAGAGAGCACACTGCGGGCAACGGGGGGGTGAAAAATGGGTCCAAAGGTCCCTGAATCTAGGTCTTCGAAAAGTCCTGATTCTTTCTCAATAGAGATGAATATAGAATGAGTTCATCCACTCTGCGAAGGGTTTGAAGTGGGTGCACTACTGCAAGAGCACAAAAAAATGTAGGGAACAAGAATATATATAAAGCCTTCGGGCGGATTCGAACCACCGACACTCCCTGTAAATCGCAGCACAAGAATATTTGGGCGGAGTGAGTTATTTTACTCCACGAAGGCTTCCGCTCTCATTGGGTGACTTCCCGTAAGGATAAAATATGCTAGGAGAATATCTGAGGGGTGCCAGTGATGTCGGCTAGAGATATATTGACTAAATCTATTCGCTCGCGATTCCCGCAAGCCTTAAAACACATAATTTGCATTATTTGTGATACACGCGAGATACAAACAAGATCCAAACAACGCGTCGAACACTACGCTCATCCCGCTCTACCGCCAATGGATATCGACGCGTACTTCCTGCACCAGACGATCCACAGCATGGAAGAGGACGATGACGACACGGATCGACACGCGGCTGCGACCACATCAGCTGTCATTTTAGTTGGCGCAGAGGAGGCGCGCAGATTGCGTGCAGAGCGTAGAAAGGAAAGCCGACTGTACCTGTGCCGACCCCAGCTCCTCCCAAACCCCCGATACAACACCCCGTGGCAGGTCCTTCATGCCAGCGGCAGTGACCAGGCCTTCATTACTACAATGGGCTTTGATGTCAAGGCTTTCGACACCATAATCCAAGCTGGATTCGCCGTAACATGGGACTCAACTCCGATTCCCCGAGACGACGTAGCCACTGCCGGGAAGCCTCGTCCTGGTGCACGATCCCTGGACGCTGCTGGCGCTCTTGGGCTCGTGCTCCATTACCTCAATTCCACCATGCGTGAAATTAGCTTGCAGCAGATCTTTGCGTTGATTCCAACAACAGTTTCCCGGTACATCACCTTCGGGTTCAAGATCCTCCTTACGGTTTTGCGTCAGATGCCCGAAGCAGGGATTAGATGGCCACGTTCTGTCGAGGACTTTCAATCATACATCGATGGGCTTAATCTACCTGTTCAGACAGCCGAAGATGAAGAAATGGAAAATGCGACTTATAATGGATGGTTATGTGAGCACTTCATCAGCTCCGTACTTGTCTTTTCGCCCGAAGGTACTTCAATTGTAGCTTTGTTGTCGAAAGAAGCTCAACAATCTATCCAGGGACTGTGATCGCAGCCAAACTCAATGCGCCTGGAAGTTGGCATGACTCTTGCATCGCGCGGCCCATTTACGAAAAGCTTCGCACCAGAACACCCGAGGGATTTTATTTGGTGGCTGATACAGCATTTCCTCGGGGATCAACTCAGATTGAGGGAAGAATACGAGCACCTATCAAGACTGGCCAAAAAATCCACGGTACGACCTCACAGATTGAAGAAAGGCTGGCGTTCGATCGGGAGCTGCTTTCGTACCGCCAGACGGCCGAATGGGGGATGCGTGCCTTGCAGGGTTCATTCGGCAGGCTCCGACTTCCTTTGAACGTTGGCGAGCAGGACGATCGAGGGAATCTCCTGGAGATGTGTGTTCGTTTGCACAATTTACGTGCACATCTGGTCGGACACAACCAGATTCGCACAGTATACATGCCATTGTGGCGGCAGACAAAGGAGGACGAGGAGGTTTGGACCAATTTTGAGAACATGCTGTTCTCTGAACAACGGCGAGTTGATCGGGTCTCTAGATTCCACAATTTCCCGCAGTACGAATGAAACAAATTTAATTTGTAGACAGGATACAAATGTAAAGAAGTTTTGTTTCGACAGGCTACCTAATAGAATGAATGGAGCTGGACAAGCAGAAAGACTACGTCAAAAGGTCTAGGAAGCCGCATTCAGTTTTCATAGGTAATATTGTTCTGCGGGGCCGGGCTGATGACAAGAGCCATAGCAGGACCACGGCGGGGGGTTACCACAAGTTCGACAGCGTTCCCAGTAACTGTCGAGGCAGTGGGACGAGGGGGGCTAATCAATGGCTGCCTGCCAAAGAAAGTCGGCGCAATGGGACGAGATGGACCGGGGGTGGGAGTGCGGCGACGGCTGATGGGACGATAAGAAGCGGTATTGTGGGAACGGGAGCGGCGGCGCTGGTGATCGAACGTGTCGTACGGGTTCTCGTTCTCGTTGTCGTCATCCTCGTAGTCATCCGTCGAGGGATCTGACACCCAATAAGTCATCGCGCCGCCATCGGGGTAAACTCTCTCACATCGAACTTTCCCGCGGACCCTCTGAAGATCCGGCTCGTTCCTGTGGCTGCGATGACCGAAAAGGCGAGAGCGGCGGCGAGAGCGACCCCGACTTTGATGCCTGCCCCGATCGCTGCCGCCGCCAGTCATGCCCAGCAGCTCGAGCTTCAACTCAGCTCGGTCGTGGGCACGCTCCAGCTCGTGGATACGGTTCTGCAAGATGGTGTTTTGGGTGCGAAGATTCTCCGCAACACCTTGCGCATCGCGAAGCTGCTGGGAGAGTGTAAGAATCTGGGTGTTTTCGAATGTACGCTGGGCTCGTGCATCCTCGCGAGCCTTCTGTGTGTCTGGATCGAAAGCCTGAGCAAGCCTGTTGGCAAGATCGGTGCTGGTGTGATGAGATTTGCGGTGCAGAGGTGGAGTGGGAACGCGCTGGGCGATAGCAGTGCGCACGGCAGCCGTAGGATGTTCAATGACCTCGACGTCATTGCCAGATGAGCCTGGGTCGGAGTCGTCGCCGAATTCGGAGTCACTGAGTCCCGGGTGCCAACGCGCTGGTTGATGAGATCTTCAATCTCATGAGCGCGTTTAACTTCAGGGGGGCATGTCCCACTGCCGGTGGGCTTCTTGAGCTTGAGATACTGGAAGCGAGACTACATTAGCATATACCTGAGCAAGAGAGATATGTGACGCACTCCTTTATACTTGTTCTCCAAGGAACTCAGTGAACGCTTCGACTTTCCGTTCGGGACTGCCCACTTGTTGTACGCCTGTTCTACCGACTTCCACCCTTTCTGACCGACAGGAAGAAGCTGTTCGACAATGTCGAGAAGCCTTTTGGTGCCATCCGCACCGTAGTTAGCTGGAAAGCCCTGTTAGATGAACTCGAACCTTTTTGACAGTGGAATCAGATACCTGATCCCGCAGGACGACCACGCTTTCGTGGCCCCGGCTCTCTGTCATCCTCTGAATCCGAGGAGGCATGCTTCCTCTTTTTTGCCTTGACATCAGCGCGCTCCTTGCCGTTGCGGCGACTACCGGCTACTTTTTCGGCTGGTTTGAGACCACGGGCTTGAGCGACAGAGGAAGGGTCGCGGAGGTCGAGGTCTGCACCCCCAGGAAGTGGGAGGAGAGCCGGATCGATCGGGACTTGATGCTGACCAGGAGAGGCCGCAATGGGCCGCAACGCAAACTGGTACTGGTTCTGAATCAAGTTAGTAGTGAACAAGATTAGAGCGATGTAATAAAAACATACTGGGAAAGCATGCTCAATGGGAGAGTCAGGCCCGCCGTTGCTTTTGTCGTGCTGCATGAGGAACTTAGCACGAGCAGCAGAGATATGGAAGGGCTCACATACCAAGGAATTGGATCCAGAAAACTTCGCAGATGTCTGGATCTGGTCGGGCATCTGCCCAAGAAGGCTCTGCTGCCGTTCGCATGTTTGTTAGCTGAAAAGGTCGCAGAACATCGGTTGGACGTACCGGCAGTGGTCCGTTGTGGTGCCGCCAGTTCCCATCGGTATCACGGTACAGGATGTTGCCCTCACTGTCCCGAGTGCGCTCTGGGAGCCTTGGGTGAAGAGGGGTGAATGGAGCGCGATTGGTGGGCTGATTCGACATTTTGGAAGTTAGAGCAGTGAAGATAGAACCTGAAGAGAGGGACTTACCTATCCAGATGTCTTCTACCTCTTTATATGTGGCCTGCCATCGGGATTTTTCGGTCTTGTTGCTGCCCAAGAAATTTCGTCGCGTCGAGGATGGAGCCTAAAAATGAGCCGTGGCCAGGGGAACATGAAGCGAGGAGTTTCAGGATTGTCTTGGGTCGGGTTTACTCGGACTGAGACATCGTTGAGGGCTTGTGTGTTGCTGGACGGCGCCCAGCATCGCGCCGACCCTGTACAAAATGCACCTGAATTCAAATGATCATTTGCTGAGATGGTTCCGTCCCGAGCCGGACACAATAGAACCCTAGGAACCACATACCAACCAGGGGCCGTGAAACGGAGCTTTGCGTGTCCGCGATGGACGAGGGAGAGGGCGAAGAAAGAGAGTGGCGCGAGGTGGGCGTAATGAGCATAGCCACAACGGGATCATCCGACTTCCCAAAACGGTTTATTCACACTTTTTAAAGTCTGTTCGGGGGGGGGTACCCCCCGAACAGATTCGCAATATACCATGATCTATTCGAGGGTCTAAGCGAGATCTGTGTCCGATGGGGTCCTGATGGTAGCTCGGCATCGCGACGGATATTGCCCAGATATTGCCCAGGAATTTATTTATGCTTACGGGAAGTCACCCATTGTATATCTTGAATAAGTTGGCAAGAAATGAGAGTGTTGGGCGGCTGCAAAAAGAATGACATTCACGTCCTTTATGTCTTTGGGTGGATTCGAACCACCGACACTCCCCTGTAAAGTTAATCCAAACCAGCGAGTTTTGGGAGGAGTGAGTTACATTACTCCACGAAGACTTTCTGGCTTATCCTATAGCTTGAATAAGCTGAGAAGAAATAAGCGCTGGGATGGGGGCACAAAAAGTCCCGTCAACCACCGACGACACGCCGGGGATACACGGAAATTATCAACATCGCGGGGATTATTGTACGAGACATGAATGGTAATTGAGGTTCCAACCTGGAGTTATCACCCGGAAGATGCACTTGAACGCAAGTGCTGAACACGGACAAAAGCGGCAAAAAGCGGCACGCACTCCGGCAGCACACGGAAGCAAATTGAAACAACACGTGGCGCCGCATGACCGGCCCGCGCCTACGCGCCTCGCGTTTCTCTTGCGTCTCCCCTCCTTCTTTCCTTTCTTCCTCGCATTCACCTTCCCTCTATCGCATGACATCCACCCCGCCCGGCCGCAGCCAACCCGGGGGCCCCAAGTTCGCCTTTGCTCCCCTCCTCCCCTCGATCGATCTTAGGCTAATCCGTGGTGGTGTGTAGATACATCAATGACTTTAGCAAGGCGCTCGCGGGGGAGATGAAGATCCTCCTCGCGGAGGTGGGGAAGCTGAGGGATGAGAAGAGGGCGCTGCAGTTGTGCGTTTGTTCTCTTTCCAAGTGGAGTATTGTGGTATTGACGGGACGGGACGATGGGTGTAGCGAGATCGCGGAGCTGATGAGCATCAAGGCGAAGCATAGCGCGGATGGCGTGTATGAGCCCGGGTGGAGGCCGCCGGTGCGTTTGCGTTCCTTCCGATTCATCCTAATCTTTTCGAATGATACTCAATCCAGCCCCCCGAGGAAGCCCCGCCCCCACCCGAGCCCGCGCCGCCGCCCGCCCCCGCCCCGGGCGGCTGGCGCACCGTCCACGCGCCGCACGTCCCGCGCCGAAGACAACAACAACTCGCCCTCCGCGCGTCGCCCGCCCCTGCGCCTGCCCCCGCCCCGCCCCCGGCGGCCCCCGCGCCGAATCTCCCTGCGTGGGCGCAGTGGCGTCGTACGTCGATCTTCTTTACATTATAATAATATCGACGCATGCTGACGACGTGACGTGGCTTTAGCGAACCCGCTCCTCGCGCCGGGCGCCCCCACGGGCCCGAGTACGCACGCCGTCGTCGCGCCCCCGCCGCGCTCGGGGCTGTTTGGGCCGAAGACCCCGCCGCCGAAATGACGCGCGGCTTAGATTAATTGCGAGCTCTCGTTCTGGTCATGACGTTGCTCCCCATTCTCGCTCCACCCCACGTCCGTACATCTCATGCTATCGATCTCTCTTGCGTATTTATTTCTTTCGTTGGCCTTCCAACTTCGAGCCGCTGAGTGCATCCCCGGTCCCGGTCCTTCGCTTCTTCGATTCGTCCATTCGTGCATTCGTTCTCCTTCGTTGCATTCCAGTCCTCGTTTCTCGAGATCCGCGTCGTGTTCGGAATCGGAAACGCGACAAGAGCAGGAAGTCTCCATGGAGTAGCGCAACTCACTCCCGATCACTTCCAGGTCTATTAAGGGTTTGGGAGAGTGGGTGGTTCGAATCCGCCTGGGGACGCTGAGGATTTTCTGTGATGCATTTTTTTTTTGGCTGTCTGCTTTCTTCCTGCATTCATGCGGTCTCATTGCTCCGGCATTACTATCTTTTGAGCTTGAATTTAATTCACAGGTGCGTCGACCTTTCTGCGGGTAACTTCTGGGTGGGCCAAGTATGAAAAAATGCCCCGGCTCCGTGCACTCCACTTCGTCGTCTCTCACCGGGAGTCAAAGCAGTACCAGCAAGTCTCTATGGAGTAGGGCAACTCACTCCCGATTCCTTCATCTGAAATGTCTGGTGCTTACAGCCCTTTGCGGAACATAGGGCGCGGCGGTTTTTTTTTCCCTTTTTGGGACATTTTCGATCTTTTCGACCATTTCCCTCGCTGTGGCTTCAATTCTCAATGTATCACTTTGAAATCTATATGAGCTGAACGGCAACGAAATTCTGCATGTCCTCTCGTGCTTCGTTTATCTTTATTCCCCCTGTATAATATGTAGTATGAATTTATTACTCTTTCAAGCAGATCTCCTCCCAGAAGGGGAGATGTTGATACCGTGCTCCAGGTCTTGATTACAGCAAACATAGGTGTATTTCAGAGGTCACCTCGTCGCCGTATTTGTTTTTTTGTCCCCCAACGATGCAATTGAATGTGAAATATCAGTGTCTACTCAAGTACAATGTTTCTGCATGATATATTGACTGGTTGCTTAGATGTTTGTTCTGGGCCCCCTATAAGGTCCTTAGAATAAACCCCACAGCTCAGATTCTGGGTGAATGCCCTCACAATGGAACGCGACGCGCCTTAATTTGACATCAGTTACGCATAACTGCACCACGTGACTGTTACAGATGGCAAATTGGCACGCGTCGCGTGCTAGCGCGAAGGCGTTCAACAGTAATCTGAGTTGTAGAGTATATTTTAAATACCTTGTAAGGGGCCCAGAACAAACCTCTAAGCAACCAGTCAATATATAATGCAGAAACATTGTACTTGAGTAGACACTAATATTTCACATTCAATTGCATCGTTTGGGGACAAAAAAACAAATAAGGCAACGAGGTGACCTCTGAAATACACCTATGTTTCCTGTAATCACGGCCTGGAGAACGGTATCAACATCTCCCCTTGTGGGAGGAGATCTGCTTGAAAGAGTATTAAATTCATACTGCATATTATACAGGTGGAATAAAAAAAAGCGAAGCACGAGAGGACATGCGGAATTTCACTGCCGTTCAGCTCATATAGATTTCAGAGTGAAACATTGAGAATTGAGCCCGCAGCGAGGGAAATGGTCGAAAAGATCGAAAATGTCTCAAAAAGGAAAAAAAAAACGGCCGCGCCCTATGTTCCGCAAAGGGCTGTAACATTTCGGGAGGGTGGGTGGTTCATGGTCAGATCCAGCTGGACGCTGAATGTCCGTTGTGTTGCATGCTTTTTGCTCGCTGGTTTTGTCTTTTTGCATTGGTATGGCCTCTTTACTCAATCTTTCGGGGATGGATTCAATTCGGACGGTGCGTGATGGCTGCGTCGGCCTTTCTACATAACATCTGGGCGGGACAAGGATGAAAAATGCCCCGATACCATGCGTTGGAGAGGGCGTAGAGCCTCTGAGGGGAGAAGAACCAACAGGGCTCGCAGCGGGAGTAGTGATGTCTGTGGCTTGGCTTAAAGCCAAAAAGCCAAGAAACCAAATCCATGGCTTTGCAAAGCCAAGCCAAGCCAAACTGATGGCTTGGGGTTGGCTTTGGCTTTGGCTTGGGGTCCGAGAAGCCAAAGCCAGGCCAGAAAGCCATGGCTTTGACTTCATGGTACAATTGTGATAAGGAGCAATGTTTTGACGTTCATGCAAGCGTTCATGTGGTTTTTGAGGAGACTGTAAAGGCAGGAAACCTCATATATATACAACGAGGAGATTCAGCACTTGCTGTAGACAACTATGTGGGGTTCAATTGATGCTTCCCAGGCATCAGGACAGCCTGATTGTGCGTGTTCGCTGGTTTATAGTAATAATCTCAGCTGCTTGATAAATTTAAAGGTACTTGCGTGGTTTCGTAGGTGGATAGGACCATTTTTCTGACCTTTTGCAACCTCCCCAACCGTGGGAACCTTTTGATCGGAAGCCGTGGCTTAAGCCAAAGCCAGGCCAAGCCAAGCCATGCCCCATGGCTTTGGCTTTGGCTTCAGATTTCTCAAGCCAAAGCCGGATAAAGCCAAGCCAAAGCCAGGGTTTGAAAGCCAAGCCAAGCCAAAGACATCACTAAGCGGGAGGGTGAAAGCAGGAAGGAAAACCCAAGATGATGACTAATCCTACGACATGTGAACCTAACAACTACAATCTCCTCAACTCATCCTCCAGGCGCGCCACAGCGTCACTCAGCCGGGGTCGACGCAGGACCAGTAAGTCTCCATGGAGTAGTGCAACTACTCCCGACTTCCGTGAAGATCGGAAGGCCTACGGCGGGAGCGTCGGTGGTTCGACTCCACCTGGGGACTTCGGGCAACACTTTAATGATTTTTGGGGTATTTTCTTTTCGAAACAGTTCCGAGTCCCGCGGACAGGTAAGCACCTTCAAGACAGAGTCAAAACAGTGCGGGAAATTCTCCATAAGTATGGTAGCTCATTCCAGAGCGAAATTTAGCGTCCGAGTTTCGCCGCTGCAGACCTTCTTCACTTCCCCGTAGGTGCGCTGGCCTAGCAAGTCACTATGGAATAGCACGACTCACTCCCGAACCACATGTTGTCGGATTGCAGAGAACTATGGGAAGGGTCGGTGGTTCGAATCCGCCTGGGGACTCTACGACGTTGGTATTGACACTCTTTTATGATTTTCTTGCGGATGAGCACCATTCACCCTTGTAGATTTCCTACGCACATTTTCAAGCGCCGGTTTTGTCTCCGACTAGAAAGGTAAATGAATGTGCCGAGTGATGGCAGCTGCGTGATGTAGATGAAAGGGTTCTGCCGAGCGACGTCGCAGTTGTGCCGAATGATTGCGGCGGACTGTGCCGATGCGCCCCGACAGAACTGCAACATCTGGTGGGATAAGTATGAGAAAATACCCCAGCAGCGTGCGCTCCATATCGTCACTTGAAGGAGCATCAATATGTCTCTATAGAGTTGCACGACTCATTCCCGACTTTTTGAAGAGCGGAACCTGGGGACTCGGCGACGCTGACCTCTCTGCTATGTTGTGCATATTCTTTGCTCGCTGGTTTTGTCTTTCTGCATTGGTACGGCCTCATATATACATTCCGGCTCTATCTTTCAGGCATGGATTCAATTCGGAAGGTGCGTGGTGTCTGCATCGAACTTTCTGCGACTAGCATCTAGGTGGGACAAGAATGAAAAATGCTCCGGAACCGTGGCACGCTCCTGATCGTCACTCACCCGGAGTCAACGCAGGACCAGTAAGTCTCTATGGAGTAGGATAACTCGCTCCCGGTCACTTCCAGAGGTCCAAGGATTTGGGAGAGTCGGTGGTTCGAACCCACCTGGGGACTCTGCGTGCATTTGATGATTCTTTTTTGGGGGCGTTTTCTTTTTCAAACCCTCCCTCGTACAGGTAACAGATCGTCGACACCTTGCCAGGGTCGAAAGAATGCATAGAAGAGCCAGAACAGTGCATGTCGTATGGTATTCTAAGCCCACTCGCAACTCGTTCCACTTCGGTCCTGTGCGTCCGAGTCTGGCGTCTGGCCGCTCCGCTTCTGAGCGTGCCCGTGGGTGCGCTGGCCTAGCAAATCCCATGAAGTAGTGCAAATGCAATCACTCCCGATCTACATATTGTAGAGAACCATCTTAAGCGTCGGGGGTCCGAATCTTCTGTGGATAGAGACACTCTTGTTGGCTCCCGAAGTTCAATTAGAAAGATGTTGTGGTGGTCTTCAGCACGGATATATATATCCGATACGTGTTGCTAAAAAAAAAAAGTTCGCCAACTCGAGATCGTCCGTCACCTACCTGGCGTCGGACCAGCCTCAGCAAGTCTCCATGGAGTTCACTCCCGATCTATGGAATGGAATGAAGATCTAATCCGGGAGCGTCGGTGGTTCGAGTCCGCCTGGGGACCCTGCATGACAATTGAGTTCAATCCTTTTTCTTTTTCTCTCTGTCTTGTCTTGATGCCACATTCGGTGGGTCACTCTCTGAATTTTAAAGGCCTGCTGGGCATCGCTGGTACCTCGGCCCGGACCGGGCCTGGATACCTGGAGCCAATAATCTTCAGAAGCACGACATATACGAGCACGCAGATGCGTGTCCACCTTTATAGAATTGTTTTGTCTCAAGCCTTTAAACCCCGCCAGGATATCGCAAAAGTTTGATGACAGAGGATGTGGAATACGCCCGCGACGAATTGACTCCTTTCCATCCAAAGAGCTGCGCCCGAATGGAACGTGGTCTTCCAGCCCAGTCCAGGATCTCCATCGTAACTATTGGGGAGTGCACCAACTCAATTGCGACCTTACTCCGCTCCCTGAAGAAGTGAAACGTGTAGTATATACAGAGAAATTGGAAGCTAGTTCATTATGTAATGTGTCGCCCTCCGACGCATGAAGGTTTGAAAAATATGTCATGTACAGAGTTGGATGGCCGGTTAAACCGTCTTGCAACTAAACTAGATTAGAGACGAAAAAAAAGTAAACCGTTACATATTCCTTTATCACCTCACCCCGAATCGAACGGGCTTCTTGCACCCCATGTGGTTGAATCACTGTAATAGGTCGCAGGTGCGCGCAGCACCATGAGGGTTATGCAATATCGGGACTCGCTCCATGTTCATCTGCCAACAAATTGAGGAGGGGAACCCCACGTCGGGTATCTTACTCAGAGGAACTGCTGGCAAGATTCCTAGTAGAAAGTAGCATTCAGGCTGATAATTTCCCTCCATCAGCACGTTGAATAGAAAAAAAAAAGGTCAAGAAATGAGTTGCATTGGATACCCGCTCATAAACACGCCCCATGTAAATTCATTCCGCAAGGGAGATAAGAATCAAACACCAGAGGAAGACCACCAAG